GTGTGTGTTTTTTAAAAATGAACATACTTTTATAGCATATACATGTTTTATATTTTATCTAATGTAATGTAAAACAAAATGTAAATTATATAAATAAAAAAACATATATATTATACTACTACTTTATTTTATTTATGTGTGTGTGTGTGTGTGTGTGTATATATATATATATTTATTTTTTTTTTCCAATAAGTGTATTTATTGAAATCTTTTCTCTGCTTTTTACAGTCAGACATGAGGACTAATGCCACTGACGTCCGTCTAGTTGCCAAAGCTACAGACAACCTTCTGGAAAGCCTGGGATCACTGGCTGTGGAGGTAGACTTCATATTATTCACTTATCATTAAAGTCTATGAGTTTATCACTACAGAAAAGGTAGAACAATCCTGAGCAGTCCTGTGAACTGTCAAACAACTGCATGCGAGAGTTGTCTATCATATTTAAAACAACCAGCACACAGTAAGGCTCTAAAATCATCCCATGAGAGTGAAAGTGACATTTAATGGCGAGAACAAGTAAAGGTGACGCAGCAGTAAAGGTGTCGCAGTGGGCCTGTATGTGTCGATGGGTTCGGTAGTGTCTCGTTTGCCAGCTGTAGCAGTGCACAGCGGGAGGAAGAGAAAGTTGGTTCAGCTCCCAGCCAAGCACAGCTGAACAAGCATCCAGAGAGAGAGTAACACTATCTACTCAGCAGTCAGTATCCAAAAACCGCAAGAAAGACGTTTTCTTAACACAGTGAGATGGGCGTTCATGACCTGTTTGATCATACAAAAGCCCCTCTGTTTTCTGCTCAAATGAGAGGGAAACCTTTGGCTACGAGTCTAAGTGAATGGAGCATTAAACTCAACCCACTGTCTAGTTTGCTGGCTCACTTTCACGTTTGAGACGGATGGTGAATTCCAGTAACCTTTCAATGTGTTGGTATGAGACTAGATGAAGTGCAAAAAGCATTTTCATTACTCTAGTCTTCAGTGTCACATTATTCTTCAGAAATTATTCTAATATGCTGGTTTGCTGCTCAAGAAACATTTTCTGTTACTATCAATGTTGAAAACAGTTATGCTGCTTACTATTATAAGATTCTTTGATGAAAAGATATTTCATTTATTTGAAATAGATATCTTTTGTAAGATTATAAATGTCTTTGATGTCACTTTTGATCAATTTCTGAATAAGCTTACTTACCGCAACATTTTGGTTGTGTCTCACGATTTCCAAAAAAATATTAAGCAGCAAATAGTTTCTTGTGCACCAAATCAGCATATTAGAAATAGTATGAGTTTATTCTATTTATTATGGAACTTAGAAATTGCATGCAACTTTTCTCTGTACAGCTTTGTGAAGTTTAGATGGCTCATTATTCCTTCTTGATTTCTTGCTCTCTCCCCCTCTGTGAGAGTGTTTTGTTTTTGCAGTAGGACATCTGTTGCACCCTCCACCCTCCATTCTCTGTGCACTTTTACACAAAATTAGCGGCACGTGACTTGTTTACTTGCTGAGTCAGATCCGTAAGGCTCACATGGTTTTATCCTGCATAGTTGTATGCCGTACACCACATCTGCTTCAAAAATGAATGACCGGGAGAAGCAATTCTCTACTTGGTGGATGTGTTCGAAATACTAACCTACTGCTTACTGCATACTGCCTACTATTTTTTTGTTTAACTGTACACACTATGTACTCTGTATAAATACTGTATACTACAGAAAAAGTAAGAGTGGTGTGCTTAACAAAACACACTTTCTATTTCTCTTTCTCTCAAGATTCAAGTTGACTCAAGAAGTGAAAATGCACCTGTAGGAAAGAAAAATCAATAATAATATGTTTTATTTGATTCTCTTAGACAGCAGTCAGATTAAATGGAGACACACTTGAGACTTTTTCTTAATATTTATAATACAAATTAAAGTGTTCTCAGGGAAATTGGGTTTTTTTCAATGTGAAATGTCGTGACCAGCACAGAATAACATTTCTTTTCCTGTCAGCCAACCTCGAAAAGCAAACCTCCCAGCTTAGAAATGCATTTATGATAGACTTTTATTTTATGTTTGACAAAACCCTTTGTGTGTTGAAAAAGCAGAACCAGCTTTTCATGGGAGGGTTTGTTTGTCTAAAGCGAGTTGTGTTGGGTTTTGTCAGGCCCTTGGGGCACTGGCTTTCTGGATTCAGGATTGTTGGGTAAAACATCTAAACATGAGCTACACAATGACAGTAGCCGTCAAGGATTAGGCAAACACAGCCTGTACTGGAGTGAATAATGAAACACTAACATTATCTCTCCTAATAGTTGACAATTTTCTCTCTGATGAAATGTTACAGGGATAGTTCTCCCAAAATTAAAATTCTTCTGTTATTTACTCACCCTCAAAAAAGGTATGACTTTATTTCTTGAGTGAAACACAAAAGGAGATGCTTGTTTTGCTTCTTTTCAATTAGAATGAATAGAAACTGGAGCTTTCATGCTTCAAAAAGGACACAAAAGCAGCATAAAAGTATCACGATAGCAGTTCAGACTACTTGTGCACTAATATTCCAAAGATCCTATGGATTTGTGAGTTATTTTATTTAGTTTACCAAAACAGTCTGAATGATTTGGTCACAAACCATTCAGTGAATAATGACTTGAATTCTGTTCTGTTCCAAATACAATTGCTATTATATGGCTTTAAAAGATTTGGATATAGTGTGCAAGTTGTTTGAACTACTTTTATAGTACTTTTGATGCTTGAAACTCTCTGAGAGTGATTAGTCATTTTCAGCATGTGTCCTTTTGTGTTCCATGGAAAAATAAAAAACATATGGGTTTGGATCTGCACGAGGGTGAATAAATGATGACAGAATTTTCCTTTTTTAAGTCAACAAATTGTTTAAAGATACACCAGTTTAATATAAAACCCGACACGCCTGTTTAACAAACTAACGGAAACCTGTGTATCAGCCTGCTTGACTTGAAGATTATAATTGTATCCTCTGTCATTCTTTTTTAGCTGGCCAGTATGAGGAGCTGGAGTGACCTGCGAAACGAGATCCTGTTTCTGACAGAAAACGCCACCGGCTCGCCGAGTCTGATGTACCAGGCTATGTCCCGTATCGTGTGTGGACACCCGGAAGGCGGTGGCCTCAAGATCAAATCCCTCAACTGGTATGAGGACAGCAACTTCCAGGCGCTGTTCGGCAGCCACAACGACAGTGATAACGAACCAGTTTCAGTCTATGACAACACCACCAGTACGTCAAAGCTACAATAGTGTTTAGTATTTTTTATATACTGATATAGTTTTTATTAATATTTAGAATTAGCTTTTGTTTACATTTTTAGGATTTTTTTTGTCCTTTTATCATTTTTATTTTATTTTATTTTGTCCTTTTATCATTTTTATTTTATTTTATTTTGTCCTTTTATCATTTTTATTTTATTTTATTTTTTAGCTTTAATTTATTTTATATTTCATGTTTGGTTATTGTAATTGTAGTACTTTAACTTAGATTTTATTTAAGTTAATTTCCAAGGCAACATTTATTTTGTAAGGTTTTTTATATAATATTTATTATTTAATTATCTTGATATATCATAAAATCTATGTCTCGGGGCAGGTTGATATTTAAAAAAAAAAATCAATACATGAATACAGAATTTCCCTATAAAATGTATGTTATTTTATTGCGGCTTTATTTCAATTAAATAAGTACTTTTTTTATAGTTTTTGTTAACATCCCTGATCTACAACAGAAATGACCATGCTTTTTCATAAACAAAATTAATTGCGCTTGAAATATGATACTAGCATACTGCACAATAGTGGTACAATATGATGCGGAGCATGCAACATTAAATGAATGCTAAATTGTCCTTTAATGCATATTCTTATGTATTGTGCTTCTAGCTCTATACTGTAACAACTTGATGAAGAACATGGAAGCCAGTCCTATCTCTCGAATGATCTGGAGAGCACTGAAACCTCTCCTGATGGGGAAGATCCTCTACACGCCACACAGCCCTGCAACACAGAAGATCATTCATGAGGTAACCATCCTGGAAAAAAAAAAAAACATGTGCATGGTACTTGCCATGATTTCTTGATTAACATCTTTGTTCTTTCCCAGGTCAACAAGACATTTCAGGAGCTCGGAATTCTACGAGATTTAGGCGGAATGTGGGAAGAAGCCAGACCGAAGGTTTGGAACTTCATGGAGAACAGTGAAGAAATAGATTTGATGCGGGTATGATCTGCCTAACTCTCATTACTGCCCCCATTTGGCTGGAGGTTACCAATGTTGAAGCTAATTTTAATTTCCGTTTCTTTGTTCTTCCAAACGCAGACGCTTCTTCGAAACAATGTCACTGCTAGTTTCTTCAGTGCCCAGTTGGCTGAGACTCAGTGGAGCGTGGAGGATGTTATAAGCTTCTTGTCTAAGCACTCCGAGGACACGCGTCCTCATGGAACGGCATTTACGTGGCGGGACGTCTTCAATGAGACGGATCAGGCCATTATGAGCATATCCCGTTTCATGGAGGTCAGAACAGCTCTCTTTCATGCTACCTTTTCCTTTCTTTTCTCCTCCTACACATTTCCTTTCCATCTCATAATCCATCTGTCTCCCACATACATACTTTCACATAAAACACGTCAACAACCAATCATAAGTCGCATAGCATGTCGCAACCAGCACATTGAGATGTGAAAGATAAAAAGGAAGTGAAAATCAACTTGAATGTAGGCTCAAGAGCTGTATAACATGACTGGAGATTACAAACAACACGCAGTCGTTTTTAATGGGTCAAAAGTTCCCTTTTACAGTAAAACAAGACCAAGCTATTACGGGTCAAATAGATTATTTTAGGTCAGCTCATTATCAATAAATAGATAAAGCCAAATTGTGACTGAATGGTGTTGTTTTTTTCACAGTGTGTAAACCTGGATAAACTTGAACCTGTGAGCACAGAGGAGAAAATGGTGAACGAGTCCATGAGTCTCCTGGATAACAGAAAGTTTTGGGCGGGAATTGTGTTTCTGGACATTCAGTCCAACAGCTCTGAACTTCCCCCACACGTCAATTACAAGATCCGCATGGACATCGACAGTGTGGAGCGCACAAACAAGATTAAAGATGGGTAAGTTGGTGTTTTCTTTTCTTAAATGCCCAGTAATGGAAACTAGATAGTGTGCTATGAAATCACATGCTTATTGTGTTTTTTGGTTGGCAGGTATTGGGATCCCGGTCCCAGGGCTGATCCGTTTGAGGATTTGCGGTATATTTGGGGAGGATTTACTTACCTTCAGGATGTAGTTGAACACAGCATCATTAGAGCAGTTACTGGGACCAAAGAGAAGACTGGTGTTTACATCCAACAGATGCCTTATCCATGTTATGTAGATGATATGTAAGTATTCCACTGCACTGCAAATAAACCTAATCGAATAAAAGAGACTGCAAATTATGAAGGATTGTCTTTAAACTATTTCCCCTGCAGTAAAAAGACTGCTTCGTGCTAATCTTTCAGTATGTTCTGTAACAGTTGGAAGTTGAACAATTATAAAAAATAAAAAATACACTTTTTTCCTGTAGTTTCCTTCGCATTATGAGCCGTTCCATGCCGCTTTTCATGACTCTGGCCTGGATGTACTCAGTGGCCATCATCATCAAAGGTGTCGTCTACGAGAAGGAGGCCCGGCTCAAGGAGACCATGAGGATTATGGGATTGGACAATGGAATCCTGTGGTTCAGTTGGTTCATTAGCAGCCTCATCCCTCTTCTCATCAGCGCAGGCCTGCTGGTTCTTCTACTCAAGGTACTAAAAAGACTTCAGCAGATCTTAAGACAGGTTGTTTTCTAGGAAGCGCACTTTTTGCCTTACAAAAAACGTTCAGTACTCAATTTAGTTATTACTAATTATTTATACTGTTGCAATTTTGACTTTTTTTCTGTCGTAGGATTTTTTTTAATGTTAAGAGTGCTAGTGACTTTATGAAATTAAATTAATTTTTTTAAATTAAATTACTAACTAAATAAATAATTAAAAACTAAATAGAAATGAAGATGAATAAAATAAGAAATATGAACATAATAAAATATACGACAAATCGCAAAAAATGACTACAAACTAAAATGAAAATAGAAGAGTTAAAGCTAATTCAAAATATGAATAAATACTATAACATAAAATAAATAAGGAAATAAATCATACTAACATAACACTAAGTATTATTATTACTATTATTAATGTTATTTTAGTACCTTTGAGATACTATTTTTGTTTTTATTAATATTTTGAATAATTTATTAATATTTCTATTTTCATTTTTAAGTTTTTGTAATTTCATTGTGTTTTTGTAGTTTTAGTCATTTTTGTTTTACATATATGCGTGTGTGTGTGTATGAAAAACAAAAACTTTTTATTTCTGTTAGTTTTAGTTTTATACATAAACTATACCCTATAGTAACCCTGATTATTATTATTAATTGTAATAAAGATTATTATTCATTATGTGGCATTCTTTAAGAAATTGTCATTAATAGAAGCAAAACAGAGACAATGAACCTGATTTCTTTTACCTTTCCAGATGGGTAATCTCCTGCCCTATAGTGACCCTGGCGTAGTCTTCCTCTTCCTCGGGTCATTCGCTGTGGTAACCATCATGCAGTGTTTTCTGATCAGTACGGCGTTCGCACGTGCCAACCTGGCAGCGGCTTGCGGGGGCATTATCTACTTCACCCTCTACCTGCCTTATGTGCTCTGTGTGGCTTGGCAAGACTACGTGGGCTTCAGCGCCAAAGTCATTGCTGTAAGTTTATGACAACCTACCAAAAAAAATTTTTTTTTTTTTAAAATATCAGTTACAAAGTGCAAATGTGTATGTGTGCAGCGTCATCAATTGTTGGACAAGTGCATTAGGTTATCATACAGTATATTGCATAAGGAAACTAATTTATACTGCTCTCCTTATCTGAAATGACTTACAGGTGTGATGAGAATATCTTAACTGTAAAATCGCACTTTAAACCCATTGTAGGCTTTGGTTCCTGACTCTAGATTACAAGGAATCTACGCTCTGTGTTCCTGTTGAAACTAGTTAAATGCTTGATAGATTAAAGATAGATTAAATATCTGGGCCACTAATACAAGAGTTCAGTTAGAGGTGAGCCAGCGTTACTGAGATTACTTTGACCAAAGCACTTAACCCTAGGCGGATTGATCCTGCGCAGTTACCTGGTTACTTGTCATTAAACTGACTTACAGTAGACTTACTGCATGAACTCCAGGTCCTGCTGGAACAACCTGAGATTAAGTGTCCAGCTCAAGGGCACAGACATAGGGAATATCAGTCAGTACATTTACATGCATTTTTGAAAGTAATTTGAACTATTTGAGTTAAACTAAAACAATTTTTTAGAGGTCATTTAAATGATTTAATCCGACTCTAATCATACCAGATTATTTTTTTTTTTTTAATTTTTACTCAATATTTTTGTCTAAACATTCCCAAATCATGATTTACTTGAGAACCAAAATTATATAAGATATTAAATCTGTTTGCTGAGGAAGTTATCAAAATTTTGTGCTTGAAATGAGAAATAAATCTGCCTGTAGGGTTAGAAATATTAAATAATTTACCTTTTACCTTTATTTTTTTTAATCCCAATTTTAAGCATAAACTAAAAAAAGCCAGACTACTCATTTTATGTCATTTTGCTTCAAGTAAATATATCTTGATTAATGAATGTTTAGATATTTGTACAAGACAAAAATACTGCATAAGAAATTCACTTTTTGCATTGTAGTTAAGCAACTGCATTATAGGGAGTGTAAAATGGTAATGTAAAACTAAATTACTTATTTTGGTGCAAGAAACCTTGACTAGCATTATAAGTGGACTTCAGGTGGGAAAAAAACAGAACACTACTTACTTCAAATTTGGTTGTGTTCACAGAGCTTACTGTCTCCAGTGGCGTTTGGATTTGGCTGTGAGTATTTTGCCCTGTTTGAAGAGCAGGGTGTGGGCATCCAATGGAATAACCTCTTCTCCAGCCCAATGGAAGAAGACAACTACAACCTCACCACCTGCCTCATCCTCATGTACTTTGATGCCTTCCTGTATGGGGTCATGACCTGGTACATTGAGGCCGTGTTCCCAGGGCAGTATGGCATTCCCAGGCCATGGTACTTCCCTTTCAGTAAATCCTACTGGTTTGGAGAGAGCAACACAAACAATACTGCAGTTCATGGAAAGAAGAGCAATGCTGGAAGTAAGAAAAGTTTTTTTTATAAGGGATACACCAATATTAAAATTCTGAACTGATGATTGTTTTCACATTATGACCGATTACTGATTAAAGGGTTAGTTCACCCAAAGATGAAAATTCTGTCATTAATTACTCACCCTCATGTCGTTTCAAACCCGTAAGACCTTCGTTCATCTTCGGAACACAAATTAAGATATTTCTGATGGAATCTGAGAGCTCTCTGACCCTGCATAGACAGCAACGCAACTGAAATGTTCCCAAGTCCAGAAACGTAGCAAGGAGATCTGTAAAATAATCCATGTGACATCAGTGGTTCATCCGCAATTATACGAAGCTATGAGAATACTTTTTGTGCGCAAAAGAAAAAAAAAATAATGACGATTCCATCAAAAATATCTTAATTTGTGTTCCGAAGATGAACGAAGGTCTTACGGGTTTGAAACGACATGAGGGTGAGTAATTAATGACATAATTTTTGGGTGAACTATCACTTTAAAAAGCTAAAAAATTATGCTATTTTAAAAAAGGCAGTTTAGTGTCACATCCGGTTTTCAGTGCCAGTGGACTGAGTTTTGAATTTGTTCATTAGATATAATCTTCAATACAATTGATTAATTTTGTTTTGTGTTTTTTTTTTTTAAAGCTGTCTGCATTGAAGAGGAACCCACTCACCTTGAATTGGGAGTTTACATTGAGAATCTTGTGAAGGTCTACCGTCATGGCAAAAAGCTAGCAGTCGATGGGTTGACACTTGGCTTCTATGAGGGGCAAATAACTTCTTTCCTAGGTCACAATGGAGCTGGAAAAACCACCACCATGTAAGTTCACATTTCACTTGATATTCATCCAAGGATCTTGAATAAAATGTATCACTTTCATATTGGAATGATTTCTGAAGGATCATATAGATTGGAGTAATGGCTGCTTGAATTTAGTTTTTTCTTTTTGGTTACAATATCTAACCCTCCAATTTGCCTTCATTGTTTTAGGTCTATCCTAACTGGCCTATTCCCTCCCACCTCTGGCACTGCATATATCATGGGCAAAGATATTCGCTCAGAGCTCAGTTCCATCAGACGGAGCCTCGGAGTGTGTCCACAACACAACGTCCTCTTCAGCATGTAAGTGCTTTAATTCAAAAACAACACAAGTCACATACTAGTTGATGTTAAGATTGTATAGTTCTGTGGATGCTAATCTACCTGTCATATTTCAGGTTGACAGTAGAAGAGCACATCTGGTTCTATGCCCGTCTGAAGAGTCTGTCTGAGGAGGACGTGAAGGCTGAGATGGAGCAGATTCTGACTGATACTGGCCTTCAACACAAACGCAAGTCCAGGACCAGCCAGCTGTCAGGTGTGGGCCATTACATCCTCTGAAATTATGATTTGATGGTTGTTTGATTTGTTGCATACTTACATTTTTGTGCTCCTCAGGTGGTATGCAGAGGAAACTCTCGGTAGCCCTTGCTTTTGTTGGAGGGTCAAAGGTTGTTATTTTGGATGAGCCCACTGCTGGTGTGGACCCATACGCTCGAAGAGGCATCTGGGACCTTCTTCTGAAGTATCGTACAGGTAACTACCTCATTCATTTTGTATTTAAAAACAAAGAAAATGCCATTAGATCTTATTGAAACAATGAGGACTTTGGGTATTTCTTAGGTCGGACTATCCTTCTTTCCACCCATCATATGGATGAAGCGGATATTCTGGGCGATCGTATTGCTATCATCTCCCATGGAAAGCTTTGTTGTGTGGGCTCTTCGCTCTTTCTTAAGACTCAACTGGGAACTGGATACTATCTTACCTTGGTGAAGAAAAACACTGAGCCTTCTCTCAGCTCTTGCAGGAACTCGAGCAGCACTGTGTCCTTTGTTAAGAAAGTAAGTGCACTTCAGTTTGCAAAAACACTCAATGAACACATTGATTTGTTGTTTAGCTAATAAGCTAAACACTTGTTTCATTGTTTTTTAGGATGACAATGCATCTGAGAGCAGTTCGGATGCTGGTCTAGGTAGTGATCAAGAAAGCGAAGCCGCCACAGCAATTGGTAAGACACCACCTGACCTCAATCTTTAAAATGATGGATAACTTTTCAGTTCATGAGATTATAACTGAATCTTCACTAAATTTTTTAATATGTTCTGCAGGAACTACATGGCCTGAATCTCCTGTTGTTCCTGTTGATGTAGCCCTCATCTCCAGTCTAATCCTGAAGCACGTTCCCGCTTCTCGCATGGTGGAAGACCTCGGTCATGAGATCACATATGTGTTGCCGTACGAGTCTGCCAAAGATGGTGCTTTCGTTGAGCTCTTCCATGACCTGGATGATCGGCTCGCTGACCTTGGCATTTCGAGTTATGGTGTCTCAGATACTACACTTGAAGAGGTAAGTGTAGCTTGTCTTGGCTTTTATCTGTCAACAAAAAGCTTTAGGATGTTAGCTGTGATTTTTTACTACATATGCAAGTTACTAATCATCTTTCTTGGGTGTCTTTATAGATTTTCCTTAAGGTGGCAGAGGACAGTGGAGTTGACACTGAAATCATCTCAGGTAAATTTGTACCTCACTATTAGCTCTCTAGTAAACTGAATGAGCAGTACAAAGACAAAAATCCAGAAAAGATCTCATCTTGTATTTTTTATTTTGCTAGATGGAACTCTGCCTGTTCCCAGACATAGGCGACACGCATTTGGTGCTGACCACCAGAGCTGCCTCAAACCCCTGACCGAAGACGATAACGTTGACTGCAACGACTCTGACGGTGATCCAGGTAAACCTTAAAAGCCCTAAAACATCTATACCTTATCTTTACAGTAGAGTCAGCCAAATATCTTCTTAATTTGTTTGGTTTTAAATGTGCTGTTGCCAATTCCTGTTGATGTATTTGATCACCAGAATCCAAAGAAACAGACTATTTGAGCGTTTCTAATGGGAAAGGATCATATCAATTGAAAGGCTGGAGTTTGAAGAGGCAGCAGTTTGTGGCTTTATTGTGGAAGAGATTGCTTTATGCTCGCCGCTCAAGGAAAGGCTTCTTTGCACAGGTAGGAATGGGAAATATAGTCAGAAAAAAATAAACCTAGGCTGCGTTTACCAAAAGCATCGTAAAACTCAGGAGATCAAAGAAACTGTTGGTGCCAATGGTTTCTACGATTCCCAAATATATTGTAAGCCTAAGTAGATCGTAGACACTGTTGGTGCCAGTGGTTTCTTTGATTCCCAAAAACAATGTAAGCCTAAGTAGATTCTATACACTATTGGTACCAATGGTTTCTTCCACAATCCAAGTAGATCGTAGAGACTACCGATGCCAGTGGTTACTATAATCTAGTTAGGCTTATGCTACTTTTGGGAAACGCAACCCATGTCAGTACAGATCGGTTTTGCTCAACTCACTTTGATTCTCTTTGCAGATTGTTCTTCCCGCTGTGTTTGTGTGCATTGCTCTGGTTTTCAGTCTTATTGTGCCACCATTCGGAAAATATCCCAGCCTGGCTCTCAATCCCTGGATGTATGAAGATCAGTTCACATTCATCAGGTATGACAAGGACAACGTTCTACTCAACATTAAGTTGAAATACTTGCATGGAACTACTGAAATTAAATACAGTGTATTTTCATTACAGTGATGATGCTCCACATGATATAAGCACACAAAAGTTACTCAACGCTTTATTAGATGATCCTGGCTTTGGAACACGATGCATGGAAGGAGAACCAATTACGTAAGTATCTTACATGAAACATTTTTTTCTGTAACTGCTAATATTTTTAATTTAAGAAAAAACTAAGCTCGTCTTCTCCCTTGGTTTTAGTGATGTTCCCTGTACAATGGGCGATGAGGAATGGTCTACACAAGAAGTGGCAGAAAGCGTGATGGACATTTTCACGTCGACAAACTGGACCATGGACAACCCATCGCCTGCTTGTGAGTGCAGCTGTAATGGCAAAAAGAAGATGCTCCCAGAATGCCCTGCTGGTGCAGGTGGACTGCCACCTCCTCAGATTAAGATGAGTGAAACTGAGACCCTCCAGAACCTGACGGGACGAAACATCTCAGACTATCTCGTGAAGACCTATGCACAGATCATTGGGAAAAGGTATGACCTGATTGTCTATCCACATGAACTGAAATAGTTCAGTCGCGTCATTCAACACATTAACAGATTGTTTCTTTCATAGCTTAAAGAACAAGATATGGGTGAATGAATTCAGATATGGAGGATTTTCATTGGGAGCTAGAAGCACTCAGGTACTTCCTCCTGCTGAAGAGATCGACGATGCCATCTCTAGAGTCAGGGAAATCTTCCAACTGGGGAAGGTAAGCCGAAACGTTGACTCTTAGGAAATTAATCAAATATTTCTCAGGAATAGTGCATGAAGTATTTCTTCTTATCCTACGGTTGTAGAACTCAGGATCAGCGGCCAACCGTTTCTTGAAAAGCCTGTCTGCCTTCATCAATGGGCTGGACACTAAGAATAATGTCAAGGTGAGTGATAACTGGAGGACTGCTATTTTTAAACCCATTATAGACATTCTAAGTGTACTTGGAATTATCTTTATTGTCATTTTTTCAGATATGGTTCAATAACAAGGGCTGGCACAGTATTGGAGCCTTCCTCAATGTAATGAACAATGGTATCTTGCGTGCCAACTTACCACCTGGCAAAGACCACCGTCAGTTTGGCATCACTGCGTTTAACCATCCGCTCAATCTGACCAAGGAACAGCTTTCTCAAGTGGCCCTGTAAGCATTGAAACTGATTGAATGCAATTTAAATAACGTTAAGGACATTGGTCATGTTGGTCTAATCTCTGAACCCTGATTTATGGCATTTCAGAATGACCACCTCAGTGGACGTGCTGGTTTCCATCTGTGTGATCTTCGCCATGTCCTTCGTCCCCGCCAGCTTCGTTGTCTTCCTCATTCAGGAGCGAGTGAATAAGGCCAAGCACATGCAGTTTATCAGCGGAGTGCAGCCATACCTCTACTGGCTGGCCAACTTTCTCTGGGATATGGTAAGTGTTTGATTTCACTTTCAAATCTCATAATGCACCACTCACCTTCTTGGCTGCTGACCCAAAATCTCTAATGCACATTTCTGTCTGTTTTTTGGTGCAGTGCAATTATGTTGTTCCTGCTACTCTGGTGATCCTGATCTTTGTGTGCTTTCAACAAAAAGCCTACGTCTCTGCAACCAACCTGCCTGTTCTTGCCCTTCTACTGCTTCTTTATGGGTAAGAAAGACAGAGCAAGACATTCACTTATATTGATAATTCCAGCTCAATAAGGCAATAATTTATGTAGGTACTGACAATATATTTTTTGTAAATGGAAACAGAAACAAACAGATTATGAACTACATTTATAATAGAAATATAATAAAATAGGGGAGAAACAGATTATAAAGTATGTTTAGGGACATTTTTGAAGAAAATGTTAAATAGAAATCTAAAAATAGAAAAAAATTGAATACAAACTAAATATTCAAATAAAAATCACATTATAAAGTATGTTTGGGTATATTTTCTAAAGAAATTTGAAATGGAATACAACAGAAAAAATACAAAGTAATTGTAGGTATATTTCCTAATGAAGATATGAAATAAAATAAACATAAGAAAAAGCAAGTACATTTAGGTATATTTTCTGAAGAAAATGGGAAATAAACTGAATAGAAAAAACTGATTATAAACCACATTTAAAAATAAATAAATAACGTATGTTTAGGTGTATTTTCTGAAGAAAATGTGAATGGTTCTTGTCTTTGCGAAATATGTCTCTTAGACAGTCTGATTCCTAGATATTGCTGGGGGTCCCACATGGGGCCTCTGTATATTTCCTGTAGTGAAAGAGCCCACCCTCATATAGATAATATACTCTGTTCTGCAGATATGTAAAAAAAAAAACTTTGGCACCCTATATGGGATTATACATTATACTTTCCAAAGTCAAAAGAGCCCACAACCTGGGAATCTTCCTTAGTGAAAAGAGCCCACCCTCATGTCTCTACGATATTGTGGTACCTAGATATGCTTGGGGCCTGACATGGGACCTCAATACACTGCCAATTTGCACATAACATTTTCCCTGATAATAAATACTTCTTCTTGTCTCTCTTCAGATGGTCCATCACTCCTCTTATGTACCCGGCTTCATTCCTCTTCAAAATCCCCAGCACCGCTTACGTGGTGCTCACTAGTGTCAATATCCTCATTGGGATCAATGGCAGCGTGTCCACTTTTGTCATGGAGTTATTTGGAAATAATGTAAGAAATTGCTTTTTTGGTTGCTATTCTTAGCAGTAATCCTCAAGCACACATGATTTCTAATGCCGCTCATCCTCTGCTGCAGGAGATCGGTGGCATTAATGACATCCTGAAGAACGTTTTGCTCATCTTCCCGCATTTCTGCCTGGGTCGAGGTCTCATCGACATGGTGAAGAATCAGGCCATGGCTGATGCTCTGGAGAGATTTGGTAAGATTAGCATACTCCACTTTAAATTTAAAGGGATAGTGCACCCAAAAATTAAAATTCTGTCATTAATTACTCACCCTCATGTCATTCCAAACCCGTAAGATCTTCATTCATCTTCGGAACACAAATTAAGATATTTTTGATGAATTCTGAGAGCTCTCTGACCCTCCCATAGACAGCAAGGAGCCTTACACGGTCAAGGCTCAGAAACGTAGCAAAGACATTGTTAAAATAATCCACGTGACATCAGTGGTTCAACCGTAATTTTACGAAGCTATGAGAATACTTTTTGTGTGCAAAGAAAACAAAAATAACGACCAATGTATTCAACAATTCGTCTCCTCCGCGTCACCCTATAGCGCCATTTTGGAGAGTATCACATACGTAAACAACGTATGCAACGTATGTACGCGGATATGCTGCTTACGTTCAGATCAAAGCATAAACAACGTAAACAGCGTATCCGCGTACATATGTTGCATGCGTACATATGTTGTTTTCATATGTGATACTCTCCAAAATGGCGCTATAGGGTGACGCTGAGGAGACGAATTGTTGAATAAATTGGTCATTATTTTTGTTTTCTTTGCGCACAAAAAGTATTCTCGTAGCTTCGTAAAATTACAGTTGAACCACTGATGTCACATGGATTATTTTAACGATCTCCTTGCTACGTTTCTGAGCCTTGATCGTGTTAGGATCCTTGTGGTCAGAGAGCTCTCAGAATTCATCAAAAATACTATCCCTTTAAATTTTTTGTTTCAGAGTTTGACCTCATCATCTTGATCTACAGTGGGTACGGAAAGTATTCAGACCCCCTTACATTTTTCGTGTTTTTCTGTCAATATGGGGTGCTGTGTGTACATTAATGAGGAAAAAAAATTAACTTAAATGATTTTAGCAAATGGCTGCAATATAACAAAGAGTGAAAAATTTAAGGGGGTCTGAATACTTTCCGTACCCACTGTATGTCTACTGTATTACCTGTAACTACTGCAAGGGTCATTATTATAGATGCTGAATGCTCTCTTACCTTGCATTAGGTGAGAACCGTTTCCGTTCTCCATTGGAGTGGGACATGGTGGGCAAGAATCTTTTTGCTATGGCTGTGGAAGGAGTGGTTTTCTTCATCATCACAGTCCTTATCCAGTACCGTTTCTTCTTTGAACCCAAGTAAGCAACATCACAACACGACTTTCTGAAACAAATTACATTTATATGAACTGCTAATGAAATTATGGATTAGAAGATTTAGAAGATCTAAAGTGATAGTTTGATCATTTTCCACAGGTCTTTAAGTGCCAAGTTGAGTCCGATTGGAGAGGAAGATGAGGATGTGGCCAGAGAGAGGCAGAGAATCATGAGTGGAGCTGGACAGGGAGACATTCTTGAGCTCAGACAACTCACTAAGGTCAGCAGAAATCCTCTGCTGATGATCACAGACATCAAATTTAGTCAAATAAATGGTGCCCTCATCAATATGTCATCCTTGTCTTTTTCAGGTGTACAAGCGGAAACAGAAGCCTGCTGTCGATCGTCTATGTGTAGGCATTCCTCCAGGAGAGGTAATTCATGACAGCTGCCTCATGATCAGCCTCATCCGAATGAGTCACGTCTACTGTAAGACCACAAACTTACATGTTTCCTCCTCCTTTCAGTGTTTTGGTCTGCTTGGTGTCAACGGAGCCGGAAAGACAAGTACTTTTAAAATGCTGACCGGAGACTCTGTGGTCACCAAAGGAGAAGCATTCTTGGCTGGGAAAAGGTACAGACAGTAAAATACAAGTAGTTATTACATTAGAACAGATGATACTTCCTTATAACAGCTTAGTCTATTATAAACACATAAATCATAGGTTAATCTTAAAATTGTGTGAATGCATTTTTTGATGACGCTGCTCTTTCTTATTTCTAGTATACTCAGAGAAATAGATGAAGTACATCAGAACATGGGCTACTGCCCTCAGTTTGATGCCATCAATGATCTGCTGACAGGACGGGAACACCTGGAATTCTATGCCATCCTGCGCGGTGTACCTGAGAAGGAAGTTTGTGAGGTGAGCAGAGTATATGAACTAAAACAAGTATTTAAACAGTGATTTGATATAATATTTATTATTTTAATATAATTTTAATTATATTTTTGATATAATTTCACGGTGCGAGACATTTAGGGTGAATCATACAGGTCCATGTCATATTTAAGCCCAAATAAAAAATAAACCCTGAAATTGTACATGCTTAAAAAAAATGAAATGAGACCTATTTTTCACTTTTGACGTGCCAAATAAGTGCTTGCCACCACCATGATGTTTATTATCAAAAAATAAACAAAATTAAAATTAAATGAAATAAAAATAAATGTATTTTGACAGGCTTTAAGGTATGCTGATTTAATAAAAAATTGTACAAAATATAAAAAGACTGTATTTCAGTAATAATTTCCACTGACAATACAGTGAATTACAAATAATATATATATATATATATATTTTGCATAAATATTTAGCATTTTGACCATTAAGCACATTTCCCCATAATTCTCATCTCATTATTGTCATGCATAAAAAGTATTTATACAACCTTCAACTTATGCTGATTTAAGCTTAAAATACACAAAAGATATGAAAAATGAAAGAATTTTTTTTTTATTATAGTAATGACAAATCACAATTAAGAACAAACTGAATTACAAAAAATAGGGTATATATATATATATATATATTATTTTTGTTTGTTTGTTTTTTATAATAATATAATATCATTTCTTCTTTTGATGTTAAGTTAAATGTGACCTGGTTTTGTGAGATTAACCCTAATAGGAAATATTAATGTGTTGTATCTTGGGCAGGTGGCGGAGTGGGGAATCCGTAAACTGGGCCTCGTGAAGTACTTGGACAAGAAAGCAGGAAGCTACAGCGGTGGCAACATGCGCAAACTCTCCACCGCCATATCACTCATTGGAGCCCCACCAGTGGTTTTCCTGGTATGTGCATTTCCCCAAACACACACACATGTACACACAAAGACACTTACACAACTGGCTCGAAGTCTTATGCTTCCTAGGGTGAATGTCTGCAAACTAATCAACAAAAACAACATTAGTCTGGATCATATGACCACTGTTTGGTTATTCTCTCAGCTGGGTTTCCCGCTCTGGTTGTATAAGGAGTTCAAGACTATAACACCCCCAGAGCTAAATTACCCTGAACTCTTTAGCCTTCAGAGAGGCCTCATAATGGGTTGATTACACAAAGATCACATAAGAATGCTTAAGAGTCAGCAAGCCTGTTTCGGTTCACTTGAGTGTGCGATACACGTGTGAAGAAAAGATGGTGTAGCTAATCAGTGTGTGTTTCCTGTTGAACCAATGGTCGAATCTGAGCCTGGCTGTGCTTTTGATTACAGGATGAGCCCACCACTGGAATGGACCCCAAAGCACGACGAGCACTGTGGAACTGCATCCACAGCGTCATCAAAGAGGGACGCTCCGTCGTACTTACCTCACACAGGTACATTCACCACAATCAATGTTTATGCACTTAAACTGAACACTAACAGTCAGCTAAAGTTATAGACAAGGACATTAAGTGAGCTGCTGCTAGACAGCAGCACTGGCAGCATTAATGATAGTATTGTCTTCCTCTAAAATCTTCATGTCTTCTTAGTTTAGCTTCGATTTTTGCTAAGCTATCAAATCTATCACTAGGGGGAAGTATTTAATCAGTTTTCTTCCATACTAACCTGTGTTCTGTTCACTCTTAGTATGGAGGAATGTGAAGCGCTGTGCACCAGGATGGCCATCATGGTGAACGGCAGGTTCCGCTGTCTGGGTAGCGTCCAGCACCTGAAAAACAGGTAAAATCATGAATAACAGAGTGCAGCAATTGGGTTCTAGAAGCAAGAATCCCATTAATTTTCTCCATTGGGGAATTGGTTTTTAAAGACTTATAGACAGACCTACTGTGTGCTGTGAGGTTGTTTGTTGATCATCTATGCTTTGTTGAATTCGTCAGTTCAAATTATTCGTTATTTTTAATTGTGTGTAAAAATGGAATTCTTGTAAAAAACTACATTACCCATGATTCTGCAGAGAAATGCCCCTAACCCTAACTGCCCCAAAAGAAAAACTACTTAAATATTTACAAGAATGTACATATTTTGCAATATACATAAAATGTTATTTCTATATACACTAGAAACACCAGCAACAAATCAATAGTTTTATATCTGTCATTTGAATCAATTTTGTCATTCCCAATGCTTCATGGGATTGTAGTTCTTTCCCTCATTGAAGTCATTAAGTACACCGCCTTTTTGTTCAATTTTCATATATTTTTTGGCTCCAAATTAAAGTTTGTGATTTTGTGATTCACCTCGTAGCTGGATGGTTTGGTTTATGGTTTATTTAAGCTATTAACCCTTAAATGCATGAATGTTTCGCCAATCATTATTACATATTCGGGTCTTTAGCGACCAGGACCTATATATCCAGCACGGATGGATCTCTAACTGCTGCAATAGCAAAAAACTCTCTTGATATTTTAAGAACAATTTATACACTTTTTACAAAAAATTAATCAGAAAACTGGCATTCTTTTATATTTTACTATTTCGATCTTGTTATATTGTTTATAATTAATAGATTGAGGAATACTAAGAAAGTTGATGTCTAACTTAAAAAAATGAAGGAGGGAGAGGGTAGAGAATGATGTCTGGTATGAGGTATGCATTTAAAGGTTAAAGGTACAGTGTGTTAATTCTGCACACTAGCGGCGTCATTGAATTGCAAAAAGAATGACTCAAATCAAGAACATTAAGCATAAAGCATACATTACTTTTTAGACATGTCTTAGGATGCATTGCACATATTGAGTCATCAGATATGTAAATATAGTTGCCCAGGAAAAAATACTTACACATTTACATGCCTTGGGTCTCTAGCTACCCTTATACACTTTTTACAAAAAATATGTGACATCACTTGCTCCTCTGGCTGCAGATTTGGCGATGGGTACACCATCATTCTGAGGGTTGCTGGGCCGGATCCTGACCTGCAGCCAGTGATGAAGTTCATTGAGAGCGAGCTGCCAGGAAGCACCCTGAAAGAAAAACACAGAAACATGCTGCAATACCAGCTTCCCTCCTCCCTCACCTCCCTCGCTCACATCTTCAGCATCCTCGCTAAGAACAAAGAGTTTCTCAGGATAGAGGACTACTCTGTGTCCCAAACCACTCTGGACCAGGTGAGGAGGCATTTCCAACCCTAAAATATCACTGGCACATTTCTGATTAGGGTTTATGTACTGGGGACAAGAGGAAGTTAAACAACAGTCAACTGTTAAAAGGATAGTCATCATTTACTCTCTCTCATGTCATTCCAAACCTGTATGACTTTCTTTCTTCTGCTGAACACAAAAGAATATATTGTGAAGAATGTTAGTAACCAAACAGTTTCGGATCCCATTGATTTTCATAGCATTTTGTCCATACTGTTTAGTTACCAACATTCTTCAAAATATCTAATTTTGTGTTTCACAGTAGAAAGAATGTCATACAGGTTTGGAATGACATGAGAGAAAAGTAAATTATGACAGAATATTTATTTCTGGGTGGACTATCCTTTTGGGACATGGCACATGATTAATATTCAATAAAGACAACAAAAAAATGGTATCACACAGGGTTCCCACGCTTCTTGAAAGTACTTGAATATCAGACACATGGATTCAAGGCCTGGAAAGTACTTGAAAACAAATATAGGTCCTTGAAAGTGCTTGAAATAAATTTGAAATACATTTTGTTTAGTAGAATGGTGCTATTTCAAAAATGTTCCTATATGCGCTGTCAAAGGCAAAACGAAACAGCGCTAATGATTGGGGTGAAGATGGGGTAGCGCGAGAAAAAAATCTTATCATGCGAGCTGATGCGCACATTGCGCAGCCCTGCATGAACCTATGGAGAAGCAGTGCATTTGCGACTGAAAACTACTGCGTGCGACTATGAAAAAATAGTTTATAATGGAACTTTGTGAGATCGCGATGAACGAAGGAGAGTGACATTTTTTAATGATTAAGAGAGTTTGCAAATGATAATTGATTTAATACAGCAGTTCATTAAACAAGAAGTTAATATTAAGTGACTTGCATTGTCTGAACACTATTGCCTGATTTTGCTCTATTTCGTCAACCAAAATAGTTTCAAACAAAGTAAAAAGCAACACAAAACCATAAAAATGTTAGCTAATTAAAATTCTAAAAAAAAAACTGATTCAAAATATTAATAATAACTATAATATTATCTCAATGATAATAAAATAACACTGATTCACAACACATTTAACTCCCATAATGTGAAAAGTGAATGTTTGGCAGTAAATAATGTAGGTGATTATTGGATAAAATTACTTTTTTCAGCAGAAAAGTGAGATCGTTTTAAATTTGATTTAAAATATGGAAAATAAACTTTTTCTTTACAATAACTTACACAGGTATTATTTAAAGGGGTCATATGATGCTGCTAAAAAGAACATTATTTTGTGTATTTGGTGTAATGAAATGTGTTTATGCGGTTTAAAGTAAAAAAAAAACATTATTTTCCA